TCAAACGGGTGCCCTGTGAGATTCCCAGACTGTGACCCTTGACAGGAGTTGAGAGCCCTTTCTACTATGCTCCAGAACATAGCAGAACTGACAGGAGTAGAAAGCCCGTCTCTCTCCTGTGCGCCAGAACATAGCAGAACTGACAGGAGTAGAAAGCCCATCTCTCTCCTGTGCCCAGAACATAGCAGAACTGACAGGAGTAGAAAGCCTGTCTCTCTCCTGTGCTCTAAAACATAGCAGAACTGACAGGAGTAGAAAGCCCATCTCTCTCCTGTGCTCCAGAACATAGCAGAACTGACAAGCATAGAAAGCCCTGTCTTTCTCCTGGGCTCCACAACACAGCAGAACTGATGCTTTGGAACTGCGGACCTGGGGACTGCAGTCCCATGCTTCACCACTGTCACTGCTCCAGAGCAAACGTCCATAGAATGTCATCATGATTGAATTATTTTATAGCTTACATCTAACAGAAAAAATAATTACATGTAAAAGCTGATCAGAACATTACTGAATGGTCATTGTTTTCTAGTCAGTTTGATTGTTACTATTGCTATATCAAGAAATGCTAACCCTCTGTCCTTTGCCTTCATGACACCCTATTTAAGTGAGATACACATGGCAAATAGGTATATGTGCCATATGAAGGGTCCAAGGCCAGAGGGGGCAACTTTTTATTGGACGAGGGCCATTTGAATATTTATAATATCATCCTTGTCAAACATTTAATGAACTCACTCCTAATGGGATGGCTGGAACTGCGTCATTAATGAGGTGTGTGATGTTAGCTAGTATTGATGATTTTGTGGCCCTTATACAACTCATGGGCTGGACATACCCCATCCCTGGTGTACGGGAACCTAACCTACTCAAGCGTGTGAGGAAATCCAGAAAGCTTCCTTCAAGAAGCGAGAGGAGGGAAAGCTGGTCAAGTGAATATGAAGGAGATAGGAAAGTGGGGAGACCAGTGGGGGAATCTCAGGAAGAGGACGGATGGGGAGGTCAGTAGTGTAGATGGACTCACCTCGGGAGTTTGTTTAGGGTGAAAAAAAGTCAGGCCATGGAACTCCAACATTGGTGACCATTGGTCAAGTGCAGGAAGAACAGCAAGCAATGTGTCTTTATCCCACTTTACTTTATGCTGCTATCTCTCTTCCTGAAGCGAGAGCTCAAAATAGCACTGAAGTACTTTATTTTTATCTTCTGAAACCTACCGTTCACTGGGAAGATGAAAACTCATATCCTTAGGCACATTTTCCTTCCCAGGCCCTTCCACTGGCATAATTGCATTTAATTCTCACAGCGATCTTGACCACTGTAACGCTATTTCTTTTTATAGAGGCTTAGTGATTGCGCTTTTTCATGAATTCAGGATGGCAGATCCAGAATTGGAATCCTAACATTAGGATCCTTTGCCCAGTGTCTTTTCCAGGATAATAATCTAATAATATCCCTATTATAATAATAAAATAATGTCCCTATTATTTTAAAGATCATATTCATCCATCAGTGCTTATGAAGATCCTGCCGTATGCCAATAAACAAGGTAGATATGGTCCCTATCCTCACTGTGCTTACATCCCGCTAATGAGCAGACATGGGCCTGCTCCTGGGTCAGCTTTGTCTTTCTTTACCTGGAGTTCCTCTTCGCTTTGATGAGAATATCTTTCATGACCCATGGGACGAATGGGTCATTCAGGTGGATTGAAACACCATTTCTCTTGCATCTCCTCTGCCCAGTTCCTGTGTTAATCAGATAGCTTGAGCGCTCGCTTGTCAGTGGACTCTGAGAAAAAACACGTCCAGGGAAGAAGCCAATGCTTTGTGCAGAGTTGATTGCTTAAGATTACTTCTTTCTCTGCTGGTCACCAGAGATTTTTTTCCCCCCAATCATGTTTATTTGCTTGACTGCAGGTGATCCAAAGGTTATCATTGCTAACACCCACAGTTATATTCCAGCATAGTAAACTAAAGGCATTCAAGAAGGAGAGATTTATACAAAGCAGGGTTTGCAAAACCTCCTAGCTTCCTGGGCTGAGAGCAAGAACTTCAATCAAGTAAAGCTTAGTATAGTAAATCAAGCTATTCGAATTACTAGCATATCCTTTTTATTAAAAGCCGACTTAAAGCCTCATTGCAACTTAACCTGTTGGCTGCTTATTATTCTGCTAGAAGAGAAGGGGCGTAGCTGACAACCATTCTCCCAAACATACCTCCTTAATAATATGGCGGAAGTTAGTGGACACCTGGAAAAGAACCAAGGAATGCACTGAAAAGTTGCAAATAACTGGGTAGGATATTGCAAAACAGAAAAACAAAACCTGGAACATGACTGAGAAGGAAAGTCTATAAGCTGTTTATGAAACATTCCAACCTTCAAAATCTAGAAATGACTGACCCTTTGTAGGAAGGGTTGGGGGTGTATTTCACATTCCCGAATTTTGGAAAACAACAATTGGCAATATGTTGAGTACATTGAGTGCTGTGAAATTAAGAGGAAGGGGTAGCGAAAGGGAAGCCGGCAAAGCAGAAAGGGACAGATGAAGAATGACGAGCAGTGTAGCAAAGAGTCAAGTAGTTTGTTGTTAAAGGAGCGACAAAAATGATGGTCTTTTACCCAAGGAATCGGCCATGGGCAGAGTGGACCTGACAGTGGCACCCAGGCAGCCGAAAGGCAGCTGGGTTCCAAAGAGAGCGGAAACTCCAGGCAAGTGGGTCAGCTTCCCAGCAAAGAGGCCAAGGAAGCCATGGGAACACGGAGGAAGGGCAGCTTCTCGCTAGAGTTCCTTGGTCCACAGCTTGAGATACATCTACTTCAGAAACATTTTGGCGGGAAGGGACACAGTGCTGGTATAAACCACCTTCTTGGAAGTCATTCCAGACCAGTACAGGTCTGGGGTCAGATCTTTGGCAAATGCCAGAAGTAAGTCTTTTTTTTTTTTTTTTCAGAAGTAAGTCTTAAGCCTGAGTTTATTTACTGACCATTGGGGACATTGATTAAAAATGGTTTTCCCAAAGCCTTGGAACACAGATGGCGTGAGGCCATCTATTATATAGCACCCACCCACCCCCTAAAACAGAGCTCTGTGGACTTAAACGGAACATTGGGCTTAGGTGTTGGTCTGCTAAGCAAAAGGGTGGCGGTTCAAAGCCTATCGTTTGCTGTAAGGGAAAATACTGAGGCTGTCTGCAGCTGTAATGATTTACAGTCTTGGGAATCGGTTAGATGTCAGTGGGCTCGGTTTTTGTGGTTTGATTAGATTCCTCTGTGATGGGTGCTCATGCCAGGGTCTAGCCATATAGCGCCCCACCCCCACCCCCCAATTAGCAAATGGTGCTGTTCCTGATAGCCCTTCTAGTTCCAGTTGGTGTTCAGTCTTCGTGGTAAGCTCTTGGCATCAGCATGGATTGTCACATCATCGGCACGACTTTCAGACCCAGGGGTGGGTACTCAAAAGGACTGATTGGCAAAGGGAAGAGGAAGAAAGGCCCTAAGAAATCAAGTCAGGGACAGCACCCATCAAGACCCTGGTCTGAAAGCACCATTCTAGCATTGGCCCTCATGCGATGGTTATTCACATTTTAGGCCTAAGAATAAATTTGTAAGAATGAGTGTGAAATAGAAGAGTTCTAATGAGCTACACTTTTGTGTCTATGTTCCCTGAGTTGGTAGTTTTCAGCAGAAAACCGACTAAGTAACCCCAGGTTCAAGATCAGGAGGTCCAACTAGGTTCACCCCTAGTGAACTCACCAACCCAGGGCTACAAAATAAAAACAAACTGCAAGCACTCTTGAACTTCCTGGTGACTTTTCTGCGCTCTACTCAGAGGCAGCAAACTTGAGGCAGCCCTCGACTGTGCTGGCATTTCTGCAAAAGCCACAGGCTGCGCACCTGCGCTTTGACGTTGTAGCACAAACAGCTGTTGGTGCGACGAGATGGCTCACAAGGACGGCAGAATCCCCAGATTGATAAAGTGCAGGCCAGATAAAATGGCGTTTTGTTTTCGTTCGTTTGTTGGTGTTTAACTGAAACGAAAGCAAACCCGCAAAAGCCGCATCACCCCAGTCGCCTTCCACCTGGTCCTTCGCTGCCCTCCTTCCTAAAGGAACTGGGGTCATCTTCCGCTCCCTGGGTCCCATGGACACCCACCATTGGGGAAGCCCAGGCCGAGGGGCCCACCTCTCTGCATAGTCACCTCTCCTCTCCCCTTCCCTCCACAGCTCCAACGGCAAGTCGGTTACGTGGGCGCAGAATGAGAAGAGCACCCGGGGACAGCACCTGTGGCAGCGGCTGTCCGTTCACATCAACAAGAAAGAGAACCCCAACCAAACGGCCATCATCAAGCCCTTCCCCAAGAGCACCGAGATCCGCAGCCTGGGCGCCGGCAGCGCGGGCGCAGCGCCCCCCGC